TAGCCCAGGCTGGCCTCGAACTCACAGAGATCCGCCTGGCTCTGCCTCCCGAGTGCTGGGATTAAAGGCGTGCGCCACCACCGCCCGGCAAAATTTTAACTTTTAATGGGCATCAACGATTGGGTTCTTTTAAACTGAAGCTCCCTGGAGAAAAGGCCTCACAGAATCCTATGGATCTGGCACATAACAGACACTTGGATGAAATCTAAATGAGCACTTGAGTCTCTACTGGACCAGTCACTGAGGCTCCAGACAGCTCCTATCATTACCATCAATTTTTTTAAAAAACAGCTTCTGAGCTAGGTATGGTGGCCCATGCTTACAACTCCAGCATTCAGGAGGCCAAGGCAACAGGACTGCCAAGTATGAGTCTAGCCTAGGCTACACAGTTCTATGCCAACCTGGTTTATAATGAGATCCTATCTATGGAAAATTAAATAAATCTAAATGTTCCCAGAGAACAAGGGCTTCAGCTTGCTTTCTCTAATACAACCCCTTGACTAAGACCAGGCTCTGAACAGTCACCCTACATGGTGATAAAATAGATCCCAGGCCCTGAGCACAAGACAGTCGCACATACTCTATCTTAGCCTGCTATGTGTACCTCACCTGTATTAGGAGGCACTGCCCATCAGGGTTATCAGGAAACTCACCAGATCATCAATAACAGACTTTTCATAAAGATAAAAGGCCAGTTGGCAAATAGCTTACAACCAGCAAGCATGGTCTCCAAAAGTAGCTTTTTATCTGTTTCCTCCCTAAACCCATACACTCTTCTCCCACCCCCAATCTCTCTGTCTGTCTGCCTGTCTGTCTCCTTCTCTACCTATAGCACTCAGTATTCCCAGGCAATCTCCCATCCAAGTACTAATCAGGCACAACCCTGCTTAGCTCCAGAAATCACACCAGATCAGGTGCAATCAGAGCAGTAAGACCAAAGACCTACCTCTCTGAGCTCTCTAGGATACCAGCTAATCTAAAGTTAGAGCATGGTAACCACTTAACACACAGGACCATCTCTCAACTATTCTCCACAATAGCCCCAGATATGCCAAGTGATCTTACGCTTTCCAAGAAATGAAAACATGGTAGAGCAGTCTCAGGGTAGCCACAAATTTTTTTTACAGTGAGAACTCACCAACCTCACTACTTTCTAGCATCTCTACCACCATGCATATGTACTAACAAGAATTTCACAGTTAACCTACGAAAATCTGTCTTGCGGGGTATGGGACAGGATGGGACAGGAACTGGAGAGATGACTCAGCAGTTAGGAGTGCATACTGATCTTTCGGAGGATTCAGGTGCTTTACCCAGCACCCACATACAGCTCACAACAGCCCTTAACAGTTCAAGGGAATCTGATAACATCTAACCTCCACAGTCTCCTGCACACACGGTATACATACATGTACTCAAGCATACACACAAATGTAAAAACAAAACCCCCACACTAAGGCTTTACTTTGCTTTGTTTTTTAAACAGTCTTCTCTTTGTAGCCTATGCTGACATGAACTTTTTTTTTTTTTTTTTTTTTTGAGACAGCTTTCTCTGTGTAACAGCTCTGGCTGTCCTGGAACCTGCTTTGTAGATCAGGATAGCCTCAAACTCACAGACATCTGCCTGCCTCTGCCTCCTAAGTGCTGGGATTATAGGCATGCACCACCACTGCCTGGCTATTTTTTTTTTTAAATCTTTATTTTATGTGCATTGGTGTTTTGCCTGAATATATGTCCATATGAGAGTATCGGATACCCTGGAACTGTAGTTGCAGGGCTGCCGTGTGGATGCTGGGAACTGAACCCAAGTCTTCTGGAAGAGCAGCCAGTGCTCTTAACTGCTGAGACATCTCTCCAGCCCCTAAAATTTATTAAATATGTTTTTCATTAATGTGTATGTGTGTCTGCATGAGTTCATCTGTACGTGTGTGAAGGTGCCTGAAGAAGTCAAAAAGAGTTAGATACTGTAGAACTGGAATTACATGTGTAGTTGGGAGCCACCTCATGTGAGTGTTGAGAACCAAACCCATAACATCTTTAAGATCCATCAATGTCTTAGTCACTGTTCTATTGCTGTGAAAAGACATCATGACCAAATTAACACTTTTTTTTAATATTTATTTTTTCTTATATGCACTGGTGTTTTGCCTGCATGTATGTCTGTATGAGGGGAGGGTGTCAGATCCTCTGGAACTGTAATTACATGCAGTTGTGAGCTGCCATGTGGGTGCTAGGAATTGAACCCGGGTCCTCGGGGAAAAGCAGCCAGTGCTCTTAACTGCTAAGCCATCTCTCCAAATTAACTCTTATAAAATCAAGTATTTACTAGCATCTTGTTTACAGTTTCAAAGGGTTAAGTTCATTATCAACATGGAAGCACTGGAGGAGTAGCTGAGAGCTACATTCTGATCTGTAGGCAGAGAGAAAGACTGGCGTGGGCTTTTGAAACATCAAAGTCCACCCCAGGGACACACTTCCTCCAACATGGTCACACCTCCTAATCCTTCTTAATCCTTTCAAACAGTTCCACTCCCTGCTGACTAAGCATTCAAATAGATGAGCCTGTGGGGGCCGCTCTTACACCAAGCCAATCAGTAAGCAGGCTCAGTTGCTGAGCCGTCTCTCTAGTCCTCGGCATGAACTCCTGACCCTCTTCCTCAGCCCTTGAGTTTCTAGAATTATAGGCTTTTGCCACCATACCTATAACACACCAGACTTTCTTACCTCTGTGCTTCTAATCATTTAAACATTACTAACCTAGACTAAAAGCCATCTTTACCAAGGCTTAGGAGATACCAAACACTGGGATAAGAGCTCCCCAATCAACTGACTGAGTCCCCACAATAATCCTATGAGGGAGGTATGTATGATCACTCTATTTTCCAGATGCAGAAACAGACAGTCACATGGTTAAGTAACTTAAGTATAAGGTCATACTACTGTTAGGTGGCAGAGCCAGGACCTGAATAAAGGTATCTATAAAACCTGTTCCTGCCGGGCGGCAGTGGCGCACGCCTTTAATCCCAGCACTCGGAAGGCAGAGCCAGGTGGATCTCTGTGAGTTCAAGGCCAGCCTGGGCTACAGAGTGAGTTCCAGGACAGGCACCAAAACTACACAGGAAAAAAAAAAAACCACCAAAAAACAAAAAAACCTGTTCCCTTAAACACTGTGCCATGTCTCACTACACATCTAAACCCTTCCCAATCTTCAAAGTCCTTCTTTGGTCTAAAATTACTATTTAGGGGGGAAAATACCAATTGGCCCCGGTACCTAAACTCTCCTCAGAGTTGTTTGTTTGTTTGTTTGAGATAAGGGTCTCACCAGCCTGGCTGGCCTAGAACTCACTACAGCAGACCCAGCCACAAGCTCAGAGCTCCACCCGTCTGTCTCCTGAGTGCTGGACTTGAAGTGTGTGCCACCATGCTCAGCTCCCCCCAGCTTTTGCACTGTTTCATCCCTCTTTTGGCAAACTGCTGTCATAGGCTCTCCCGCTCACTTGTCCCCTCCAGTGTGACATTCTCTGTCCTTCCAATTCCCCAGTGACTAGTATAGTCCTGGGATAGTAATGCTCTGAAGACTGACATCCCGATCTTCTACCACCCAGACCACAGAGTGCTCAGTACCTCATCACAGATGACCAGTCCAACACTTCCTTTTTGAAGGACTCCGACATGAAGGCGGAAAGTCTCATAGGAAATGATGAGGATGGGGGAAGGCACTCGGGCTCCACGCTGGTTCATGAATCCCTCTACAACAGGAAGGTGTCAGAGAACAAGCCAGAAGATCTTAAAGAAAAACAGTCTGACAGCTGTGTGACATAGCCTACAAAGAACTGTGCTGGTTTTCAGTGGCAATTTTCCCACTTGTCCCCACACTGCCATCCACACTGGCCACAAGCGAACACACAAAGTAGAAAACCTGGGGGAAGGGTACAGCCTCATCTGTTAGAGCTTCATACCCAGTTTCCGGTCGATTTCGTCCTTAGAGCCCCCGTCAATGGCCAGAGGTTGGATCCTCCCTCCAAGCCATTTTCCAACCTCATTGTACCAGTTCTTCACCAAGCTGGAAGGTGACACTACCACTGCCTTTTCAATTTCCGGCTTGCACTCTGGGCTCTGGCGTAAGAGTGTCCACATCAACGTGATGCACTGTAGTGTCTTTCCCAGGCCCATCTCGTCAGCCATGATGCAGCCGTGGCTTCCCGGGATCCGACAACCGGTGACACATTCCCAGAGGAACTTCACTCCCTGAGGAAGAGCACCAGTCAGTCCACTCTGACCCCTCCTTAGCCCCTAGCCACACATCCGTCCCCCGACCCTCATTTACCTCTCTCTGATGAGGCCGCAACACCTTACTGAGAATCGGATCAACAACCACGTGGACAGGGAGTTTTTCCCTGAGAAAACATGGCAGAAAAAAAATAAATGTTGCTCAGACTCAGGCAGGGTCAACCCTCAGGAAGTGGTATCCTGCAGACCCAGAAGGTTTTACACCTTCTCCCCCAGGGAATAAACCAGAGTGAGGCCCTGCTTTAGGACTCAGGAAACTCAGAAAGGGTGAGACTCCTGTCTTCACCTCATCACTTGCCCCTCCAAATGAGCATGGCAGAAGGCAGTGAGGAACCTCCACAACCTGAACACAACCACACTCTCCCAGTCTCCTTCCCAACCACTTGCTCTGGATACAGTGCCGCTGTCATGACAGCTCTGGCAACCTATGACAATTCCAGGGGGGGTAGGGTCACACCAAACACCCTCCATTCTCCAGGCACGGACACGTATAGTGGACTAGCACTACTCAAAAAATATCAATGTGCATACTTGTCAAGCTTCAGCTGGTCATGGACACTTAGTGGGGGAGGCTCATACAGAACCAAGGCACCTTCCTCCAGAGGGTCATGGAGGGCACGACGAACTCCAGCTCTTTTCAGGCCCAATGCTCGAGAGCCCAGAGGACCTAGAAATCAGCAGTCAACCTGTGAGCTGACCCTCTATAATCAGGCACTCCAGCAAGCCCAACTTAAATGCCCATCCTTCATGGAACCTTTCTGAATACCCATGACTTCTTTCCCAGAACTCCTTCAAACCATTTGTGAATCTATTGGACCATTATCTCTTCAGCCCTGAAGCATTTTTTCCTATTTTATTTCTCCCATTCAACTACAAACTTCTGGAGGGCTTATCAAGTTCATCTCAAATCAACTGTAGCAAGGTCTAAAACTCAACAGAGGCCTTTCATATGTGAGGACTTGAAATCTGGCTGCTTCTTTCCCTAGTCCCAGGTCAGGCACAATGAATGCAATGTCCTAAACAAGACGAAGGAAAACTGTGGAAATTAAACCTCCTCCACAGTCAGCCTTATAAAGGAACTGACACTGAACATGCTTGAACTAAATGAAGGCAGCATCATTAGCTACCGGGCACACCAAAAGCTTTTGAGCAGACATGCCCCACCAAGAAGATGAAAGACAATTAGTCTTGGCAGTCCCTGCTAAATGCCGGCCAGATAGCCTTCACACAGGCCTCAGAGGATCATGTCAAACACATCCACCCATGGACTGACATCTTTAATTCCCAGGTTGGCATATAAGTCTTCGATCTATTCAGGCACACTGACACAAATGACTAAAAACTGAAAAGACGTGCCAGGCATGGTGCTGCACATTTACAATCCCATCATTTAGGATCCGGAGGCAGGAAAATTGCTGTGACTGAGGCCAATCTGGATTATATAACAAAAGCCTACATCAAAACAAACAGATGCTGGAGATGTCTAAGCAATTAAGAACATGCATCGCTCTTCCAAAGAGTCTGGGTGTGATTCCAGCATCCATGTCAGGCACGCCACACAACACATGCAAGATCCAATGCCTCTGACCTCCTCGGGAGGCCAGATGAACACACACACACACACACACACACACACACACACACACACACACACACACACGATTAAAAATAAAATAAACTACCAGGCATAGTAGCACACGTACTTAGGAGGCAGAGGCAGGAAGACCTCTGTAAGTTCAAAGCCAGTTTGCCTAGTCTATAAAGCAAGTTCCAGGCCACCCAGGATTACACTGTGAGACCCTGTCTCAAATAAAACACAAAATAAACTTAAAAAAAGAAAAAGAAAAGAAAATTAATAAAGTCTCCATTTTACCTTGATAGTTTGGAATGGGGACCTTGAAAGGCTTTGACAAAATGCTTCGAATAAATGCTTCCTAAAAAGAAAAAAAAAAAAAAATAGGAATTCAGGACTGTTGAAGATTTTATAGACCAATAAATGATCTAACATGTTCCACTTCAGGTGTTTTTATTTATTTATATTTATTTATCTATTTATTGGTTTTTCAAGACAGAGTTTCTCTGTGTAGCTTTGTGCCTTTCCTGGAACTTGCTTTGGAGACCAGGCTGGCCTCGAACTCACAGAGATCCGCCTGCCTCTGCCTCCCGAGTGCTAGAATTAAAGGCGTGAGCCACCACAGCCCGGCTTTTTTCTTTTTTAATTAAGAAAAATTTTTCATTCATTTTACATACCAATCAAAGATCCCCCTCTTCCCTCATCCTGCCTCCCCAGCCTCCCCCGCAACCTACCCTCCACTCCCCACCCCCACAAGGTAAGGCCTCCATGGGGAGGCACATCCAGCAGAGGCAAGTCCAAGCCCTTCCCCCTGCCTCAAGGCTGCACGAGGTGTCCCATCATAGGTAGTGGGCTCCAAAAAGCCCCCTCATGCACCAGGGATGGATTCTGATCCTACCGCCAGGGGGACCCCCACAAGCAGATCAAGCTACATGACTATCTTGCCATGCAGAGGGCCTAGTCCAGTCCCATGCAGGCTCCACAGCCATTGATCCAACTTGCATGAGTTCCCACTAGTTTAGCTTGATCATCTCTGCAGGTTTCCCCATCATGATCCTGATGCACTTGCTCATAGAATCCCTCCTCTATCTCTTTGACTATGGAGCAGGACGCACAGAAACGGGTTCTCTCCTCCCACCATCAAACTCGGGTCCAACAGGCTTGGTGGCAAGTGCCTTTTCCCACTGGACCACCTCGCCAGCCCTTGTTATATTTATTCTTTTGAGACAGAGTCTCACTGTTGCCCAGGCTGGCCTGGAACTCACAGAACTCCTCCTGCTTCCACCTCCCAAGCATTAGCATTCCAGGCATGAACCACATTTGGCTCCTAATAAGAAAACTCCTTTCTGCCAAATGGTAATTTAAGACAAAGGCAATCCTGTCTTGCTGTGAAACTTTTACCTTTATATTCTAACCCATTTCTTTACATATACAGATTATAAATTTCTAGAAACTCAATGTCTTTTTTATAAAAAATATATGATATTTTTGTGATCTACTAAAAGAATGGGTAAATGAACATCACCATCACTAAATCATGTGACAGAATACTAAATCCTATTTATTTCCACCTGAAGAAAACTTTTTCAAACAGTGTCATTACATTGAGTCTAGCCTAGAAATCCATATAGAATCCAGTTTGACCTTGAACTCACAATTCTCCTGCATCAGCTTCTAGACTGCTGGGATTTTAGGAGTATGCAAGCATGCCTGGCTCTGACTAAATTTATGACTTTAATTTCTTTCTTAAATTAAGAATTAAATTTTCTTAACTAGCATGAATACTGTAGTTATGAACAGCAAAGATAATCAGTAAGAAAAAACACTAGCCAGGTGTTGGTGGCGCATGCCTTTAATCCCAGCACTTAGGAGGCAGAGCCAGGTAGTTCCCTGTGAAGGGGGAGGGGGAGGAAGGGGGAAAGGGAAAAGGGGAAGGGAAGAGGAAAGGAAAGGGAAGAGGAGAGGAAAGGAAAGGAAAGGGAAGAGGAAAGGGAAGAAGAAAGGGAAGAGGAAAGGGAAGAGAAGAAGAAAGGAAAGAGGAAAGAGAAGAGGAAAGGGAAAGGGAAAGGGAAGGGAAGGGAGGGAAAGGAAAGGAAAGAAAGGCAGGCAAGCAGGCAGAGGATGCGTGCCTGTAATAACAGCACTCACAGAGAAGCAGGAGGACCCAGAGTTCAAGGGTATCCACAGCTACACAGTAAATTCAAGGCTAGCCTGGTTACATGAGACAGTGGTGCCTTTAGAAAAAAAATTGCTAATGATACAGGAATATTGGAGTGTCTTTTGAGAGTCATTTCACAGCCTTCTCAGATCTCAGCTTGACTCCAGGGATTGGTATCCCAAGAAACCTGGCAACCACCAAGCCACCTCGAGACAGCAGTTTTCAGATTGTCTTAAAAATTCAAACAATTAGGAAATTAGAGAAACAGCTCAGTGGTTAAGAGCACTGGCTGCTCTTCCAGAGGTCCTGAGTTCAATTCTCAGAAACCACATGGTGGCTCATAACTGTCTGTAATGGGATCTGATTCCCTCTTGTGGTGTGCATGAAGACAAGTCATCGTATACATAAAATAAATATTTTAAAAAATTCAAACAATTAAATTCTCAGATAGAGAAGGTGAGGTTTCTTTTTTTAGATTTATTTATTTTTATGTGTTATGAGTATTTTGCCTGAATATATTTAAGTGCACTGTGTGCATGTCTGGCACCAAGGGAGGCCAGAAAGGGGTGCTAGATCAGCAAAATTGGAGTTATAGATGTCAGAGCTGCCTGGGATCTGTGAACCAAGCTCAGGTCCTCCACAAGAGCAGAAACTTCTTAACTGCTGAGCCATCTCTTCAGTCCCTGAGGGTGAGTTTCAGAGAGAAATTTAGTATAGATTCATGGGAGGGGATGGGGGGTTAAGAAGGATGAAAGGAGAGCAGGAGCGAGCAGAGCTCCTATATAGCAGGAGTGGTCCCAGGATATAGGGTACCACTGAAGCACCTAGTCTGGGAGCATTTTAAAGAATTTATGGCAGAAGTGGGCATGGGGGAGAATGGGACAGGGGACGAACTGGTCATCATCAGTCCAGATGAACTCTTTCCAGTTCAGTCACAATCATCTACAGCTCTAGGCAGATGTGCAGGAGAAAACAGGAGCCAGGATTGTGTGCCCTTTCTGGCCTCCAGCAGGGAATGGAACTGCTACTTTGGGGTTCCTTCCCTACCTGACCAGTTTCTATCTCCTGTCATAATTGGCGAGTCCAGAGCAGTAGCTCACACCTGTAACCTATAATCCCAGCTCCTACAGAGACAACAAAAAAAGATGCTACCAACAACTACTCTTAGGCAGAAGCAGGCAGATCTCTGTGAGTTTGAGACCAGTCTGGACTACAGAGTGAGTCCAACCAAGGCTACAAAAATTTGTTTAAAAAAAAGGGGTGGGGGGGGGAGGCTAAAGCAATGGCTCAGACACACCAGGAGCACTCAGGAGGCAGAGGCAGGGGAATCTCTGAGTTTAAGGCCAGACTGGTCCAAGATGGCCAGGGCTACACAGGGAAACCCTGTCTCTAAAAACAAACAAAAAACCAGAGTACTTCATGCTCTTGCATAAGACCAAGTTCAAGTCCCAGCACCACATGGTGGCTCACAACCATCCTTAACTCCAGTTCCAGGAGATTCTTTGCCTTCTTCTGACCTCTAAAGGCACTAGACATACATGTGTTGCATAGACGTGCATGCAGGTGAAACATCCCCACATACAAAATAAAATAATTAAGTCTTAAAAAAAAATTTGAAGCTAGGCATTGGTGGTGCACATCTTTAATGCCAGCACTTGAGAGGCAGAGGCAGGCAGATCTCTGAGTTCAAGGCCAGTTTGGTCCACAGAGAGAGAGAGTTCCAGGACAGACAGGGCTACACAGAAAAAGCTTGTCAAATAAAAAACAACAACAAAAACAAAAACAAAAAACTCTAAATCAAATCATAGAAAAAGCAGGGAATGAATGAACTCTATTAGAATTTGGTATCAATTCTAGGGCTGAAGGGATGGCTCAGTGGTTAAGAGCACTGGCTACTCTTCTAGAGGTCCTGAGTTCAATTCCCAGCAACCACATGGTAGCTCACCATGGGATCTGATAAACTCTTCTGGCATGTGGGGACATGCAGACAGAGCACTCAGACCTAAAAAAATACATAAATAAATAAAATTAAGAAAAAAAAATATCAATTCTAAAACTACAAAGTTACTTTCAAGATTATTGGCACGTGCCTGTAATCCCAGCACTTGAGAGAGACAGGCAGTTCTCTGAATTCAAGCCTGCCTCATCTACAGAATTCCAGGCTAGCCAGGGAACTTGAGACTCTTAAAAAAAAGGAAGGGAGGAAGGGAGGAAGGGAGGGAGGGAGGGAGGAAGGGAGGAAGGGAGGAAGGAAAGAAAGAAAGAAAGAAAGAAAGAAAGAAAGAAAGAAAGAAAGAAAGAAAGAAAGAAGAAAAGGAAGACTTAAATAAGTACATAAATCAGGATGAGAGGCTAGATTTAGACACAAAGTAGCCAAGAATTTATATTCCAAACTTTAAAAGATTTCCAATGGAACTCAGAAGCCATAGGATCTGTAGGCAAAGGGCAGCTGTGTCACTGCCTGAGTGTTCATATTTATGAAGACTCTTAGCCCAAAACATCAGCTGGGAAAGCGGCAGCAGGACTTGGCATGAGTGACCCCTGAGGATCTGGTCTAGCAATGCCAAACTGTGGCACAGACATGCCCTCATTCACTTGTTCCACTAGTTGCTGATAATCCACACCATGTATTATGAGAATTCCTTCCCTGAGAAACAAGGTCTACCCCTCCCCCTAACAACCAACCAAATTCCACTAAAGTTCACTCCAGGAAGCCAATCAGTTTATTTCTGGAGTGGGGGTACCCTTACAGGGCACAGAGGTGACATCAAAGTGACACGGGAAAGTCCTCACCCAGCAAGGATGACTGCTTCCCAATAGCCTAGATGGAGCCCTTCTCCATTCACGCTTTCCCAGCCCTGATACTCTAGGGCCTCCCCAGACCACAGACAGACAGAGAAGAATTGCACACGAATGGTTGAGAGAGCCTGGAATCCCAGATGGAGTCCAGTCACCCTCCCCATCTCCCTTCCTCTTAGAGACTGTCACCAGTCCCCAAGCCCTATCTACATTAAGTTTATCTAACGAAGACGGTGGCCATTTTGCTTGGAGGATAGTGTTCTACAATGTCCTTTCCTTCTGATGGGAGAAGCACATTCTCCACACCCAACAGTTTCCTATTTCAGCAGTTATACCCAATCTTTCCACCTCAACTGCTCTGTCCCTGCTAGTTCTTTCTCACCAGCCTGATGAGCACTCTGTTA